GCCCGTGACGGGTTGAAAATCGTCAATCTGTGGAGTAGCCCGCGGGCCGAAAAAAATATCGCTCGACCCGTCAAGCGGATCGGTTTCGACGTCCAACGGGTCAGATAAAAAAAAATCACTCACCAACATCTCTGTTTGCAACTACTTGAGCAATTTTAACAAATAAATAGTCATTTAAAGGGCTTTTCAAAGTGTACTTATTGTGTAAAAATAAAGTTTTTAGCTCAAGAAGTAAGAGAGTTAATAAAAGAAGTTTGTTACATGCATTTTTGCTTCTCTAAAAATAACGGATGGGGCAGATTAAGCGGCCGCATTTTGTATTTCAATTTTTTATCACTTAATATGTTGTATTAAAAAAACAAAATATATCGCAAGATGCAGCGTGAAAAACTCTACAATTTACAAAGAACAATTTAGTTGTTAAAATTGCTCAACTAATTGCAAAAATATATAGATAGGAAAATTGTCGCGAACCTTTTTTTCATATCCTGTTGGTACATAAGCTCTGTACATTTAGATCAATAGAATTCTATCGCCAACATAAAACTGCATTTTAAGGAAAGTAATTATATATTCTGATAGCGCTCGAAATTCTCTAGCATCCTGTGTATTTAAGTTTTGACTTACATTTATTTGCTGAAAAATATTTTGAGTACAGTGAAGACACTCTCATCCGCACTGATAATGTTCGAAATATTTCTCAGTAAATAAATACAAGTTCAGATCTGAATATAGAGGATGACAAAGCATTTCAAGGGCTCTCAGAATATATAATTATTTTTCTAAAGAAATGGATTACTGTATAGATAAATATTTTACAACCGCATAAGAAACGAACAAAAAATGGAGTTCGTGGGAATCTGAGGGTGAGGATGTCTTCACTGTACTCAAAATATTTTTCAGCAAATAAATGCAAGTCAAAACTTAAATGCACAGGATGATAGAGAATTTCGAGTGCTATCAGAATATATAATTACTTTCCTTAAGGCTTCCCCCCCCCCCCTCCAAAAACTCGTTTTTCGTCCAAAAAAAGATTTTTGAGAAAACTATATAGAGATGTCGCCTAAGGTCCCTACTTTAAATATTCGCTAAGAAAACTTTCAGTTTCGAAAGGTTTCAAAGAGAACTACTAAAAGTTTCTCAAATTCTCTATAGTAACATTCATAGGCGACATTAGATAAAAACCGAAAGAAATCATAGATGTTGCCGTCATCTGTTAGCTGCATGTGGCGCTAGATGTGTAGGCCTATGTATCTTGATTAGTTCTAGTGACTGATAAACGATATCGCCATATGTGTTGCTAATGTCCAACGATAGGTCGATAATATGTAGAAAAAAAGTTTTTGCGTTTTTCTCGAAATTGGTTTTTGGCAAAATTGAGAAACTCCGAACAACTTTTTTTTCATTATAGTTCGTCCTATCGAACTGCGTTTTTTTTTATTCGATAGATTGATGAATCCTCTTTCGGATGACGGAAATGGAATTTGCATTTGACCCTTACAGTCAATGTCCCTAATAACAACACTAAAAAAATTTTCTTCCTTGTTCGACTCGGTTCTCAGCTATTTTACACTCGACTGGAAATACTTTTATATATGCATAATCTATGGAGTCTCCTCTGTCAAATGGTATAACAGCGGCCTTTCTCTGAAATGTAATGGCGGAGAAATCAGCGGTCTACGATAACGAACTGCTACTGTTGTTATTAGGGACAAAATTTAGCTGGCTGTTGTAATTGGGGAAAGTGCCCTAATTACAACAGAAGTAGTTCATAATCGTAGACCGATGATTTCTTCTCCATTACATTTTGAAGAAAGACCATTAATACATCATTTGAAAGAGGAGACTCTGAAGATTATGCAAATATAAAAAATTTTGATTCGACTGTAAAATAGTCGAGAACCAAGTCAGACAAGAAAAAAATTTTTCTAGTGTTGTTATTAGGGACATTGACTGTATATGTCAAAGAGTTGATAAATTGAATATCAGATTCGCTCAACGTCATAATTATTTGGATTTCGAAAACTCAGAGAAACTTATATTTAATAAATAAACAATCAATTAAAACTAATAAAATAGATTGTTTGAGTATCTATCGTCATCGAAATAATAAAATCATAAACTGATAAATAATGAATAATAAGATTTTAATTTAAAACAATCAGTTGCGTTGAAAACTATCAGTGAAAGACTAAAATCAATTTGAATTACATAAATTCTTATTCTTGTTTTTGTATCATTTGTAGTACCTATTATGAACGATCCAAAGTGGGGTTAATGTTGTTATTTAATTTCATTGTATTATGGGTTCTAATTGTACATATCAAGGATGTAACAAGAATACAAAATTTAAAAGAAAAAGTAACAGATGAAAGATTTCCAGTGTTCTTGCTTTTTAATATTGGTGCAATGGTCGCAGGAGCTATTGGTTTTGGAAGACCTTATATACCGGTAGTCGTGTCTCTTTTTGGTCTTCTTTTTGTTGCATTTGGAGGTCGTCATTTTCCTGGATTAGCTGAATGAGTAGAAAAGCTCTTTATGATGTTATCAATGATGAGTCTCGTAGGTGAGTATTGTATATTGGTATTCTACATTGGATTAAAACAAACAAAAAACAAGAAATTAAAATATTATTTATTATGATTTTAATTTGTTCTATACTTTTTGCTATTTATTGTTATTATAGGTTTTAATCTTATTACTATCGTTATGTTTGTTCTTTTATCAATAGACGTTCATTAGGTTTAGCAAATCTAGTATCATATGGCTATTTGCAGTCAAACATTCAATGGTTCTGCTAGCAAAATTTATTTCTGAAGAAAATCTACTTTTTCTAAATAAAATTATTCTCGAGTCCTAGTTTCCAGATGCAATATCACCAATTATTTCAGTTCACATCGTTAGAAAATAAACACTAAGATTGTCCATTTTCACAATGTTTTATTATATTATTACAAAAAAAAAAACATTATTATTCAACAATTTCAAAAACAACCATACATATTAAATACAAAAATGATTGAATTAAATATACAAAGAAAAAGTATTTTATTAGTGGTTCTTTCTAAGATTAAACTCTATTATCAATCTTTTGAGATTCTTAATAGTTAATCATGATGTTATTATTACGGGAAGATCGTTTACGGTAACCGTCAAGACCTACTTCATAACAAACAAAACCAAATAATGAATAACCTGTACCACAAAGGATCGAAACTGTATAACCATAATAATAGTTGTATCGATAAATAATAAATAAAATACCGATGAAAGCTAACATAGAAACGATCCATAATACATAGACAAAAAAATATATGTGATCTCCACTTATCGAAAGAAATTCCCAAGTAAAATAAATCTGCAATACATATAAAATTAAGGGTAAAACACGACTAATCTTGAGCTGCTTATCAGTGAGGCAGTATTCTGTTGATTCAACAAAGCAGCGACAATCAGTATATGGTATATCATAATTGTGGTTCAATCGATGTCACATTTGGCATTCTCAACATGAAAATTGACTCCTGAGATCTGTCTAAAATGTTTAGATATTCAGTCTGCCAGAAAACGACGATTAATATAGCACCAGCATGAAAAACAGAATGTAATGCGTTATTATCATTGATATTGAAGTGTATTCGTATCATGGTATTCTGTTGTAAACAAATTTATATAACGAGCAACAAATTACGACGACATAATAACAAATCTGAAATGAATTATAAGAGTGAAAAAACATAATATAAAGTAACTATCACAGTAATGAAGAACAACGCTAGAGATTGTAATTGCAAAGAATTCATCGGTTTAGGAACATCATCATAGTACATATGTATGATAAAATTAGTTACCTTTATTTAGGTTTTCATATGGTCATAGCCGAAAACTACTAGTTTCGCATAAGACTAACTCCAGTGTGAATAGCATTTTAAGATGTTTCGAACAAAAGTTAAGGAGTTAGGATATCTACTATGAATTTCTTATAAAGGAGTCGATATGCATTCGATTCTTCAAGCTATATAGAAAAGCTGTTGTCTCAATATGATACTTGTTAAGATTAACGTCATCACACAAACTGAAATGAACTTATTTAAAATTCAAACAAAATAATAAAAATTTAAATAATTTTAATTGAATGTCATATTGATGTCGTATGGCACTTGCTAGTTACTAAATAATTTTATAGACGTATTTTTCCATCGAAATAAAAATGAAAACAAAGAACCAATCTATTTCGTTCCTTAAATTGACTGTTGATAAGTATTCGATGAGTTGAGCTTAAATTATCTTTGAAGTAAAACAGATCTAGTTTAGCTTAGAGATTACTTATTCTCATATCAGAGATGTCCATAACAGTAGGCAGATTTTTTTCAAAAACTATCGCGGCAGCGGCAAATTCTCAGCCGCGATGGACATCTCTGTCTCATATATATAAATACACATTAGTACACGCGAAAAAGAGGAGTAGATGACTTAGATAAAAAAGAAAAACAACAAAACAAAACAAAACAATGCAGAAATGACAGCTGTTTGATGAACGATATTGAACGCTGATGATTACAGACAAAGGATTTCGAGATTAGTCGATATGAATCTTTCATTTTTGTAGGTTAAAAAGATTTTATTTCACAGAAAAAACTCATTTATGATGTGCTATTTTCGTGGAAAATTTCATTTTATAAAAATCAGTTTCATCACAGAGTGCATTAATGGATAGAGAATTCAACATTCATTCAATGGTTCATTCACATGTGTCGGCAGACTAGATCAGATTGAAAACAAAACTATGGAAGAAGAGAATTTTCATTTTTTTTCTTTCCTTCATATATGAATTTATACATATACATATATCTGAAACACACTGATACTAAACGTCCTCTTTTTTATTACAGAGGTTAAGTGTATCATTTTTATCCAATGGCGAAAAAGTGTATGTTTGATTAATCTATTTCATAAACATCGTGTTCACTTAGTTAATTGTGAATTTTATATTTGTATCAATGTCAAACTTAAATGATAGTATGAAAGAAGAAGAAAAAGATGTTGTAATAGTCAGCAATGATCTGAGTGATTCTTCATTGTTATCTAATTCAAGTACGATTCCAGTAATTTTTCTTAGCATAACTGATTTTCTTTCTTTTTCTGACATATAATTCTATTCTAATTATTATAGTCGAATGAAGAATTACCTATTCCACGCTTACAGGATTCATCTTCAAGCTTAATGACAAGTCTCATTACTACAACGTCACAATTATCAATATCATCTGAAATCATTAGTCAATTACATAGTAAGAATTTTCATATATCAATGTCTATTTTCTTTCTTTATATGATTTAAAATGATGTGGAATAAATATTAATAAGAATATTTTTTTAATATCTCATAAAATTCTCATCATTTGAAAATGAATTTCTTTACTATTAGATAATTCATTTTGTTAATTTTCTGCAGTATCATACGTATATCTATATATATTTTATTATTAATGAACGCATATTCTACGATTTTTAAGATATACAATATAAATAATTAGGAGAAGATATTGAACTTTTTAAATAGTGTATATTTATTTTGACAATTTTCTTATTACATACATTATTTTTCTAAATAATATTATTTTTAATTTTAATTGTATTCAATGTGTTATTTGAAAATTTTCATATCAAAAATAGAATGTTCTAACTAAATTAAGTATTATTATTCAAAAACTTTATGTTATTAAAAAGAAATAGTTACTTCTATGATGTTCTATGAAAAACTTCTTTGAATTGTCTTTTATTCTTTCATATATTTAATATTCTCAAAGAACATGTAGATAGAATAGAGAAAAGGGAATTTTGAATAAGCTGTTAGCTGCTTTTGTTTTGTTCAGAAACATAAAAAGATGCTATAAAAAAATAATAGAAAAGACAATTGGGAAAATTTCTTTTCTTTTTATCTATAGAATATTAAAGAAAATTTAGTGGATTTATACAAAACGAATCAGCTTATAAAAATGTTCTTTTACAAAAAATCTAGTAATGACAGTTTTAGATATATATATCTTATGTTTGTATATTCGATAATAATAGAATGGATATTTTTGAGATTTTTCTCTACTTTATGGGTTCTGTCAACAAAACAAAATATGAACTTAAACATAGTGTATCAACTAATGATGTTTCTTAATGAATCTCAATGATAATATATGAGTTGATATTATCATATTCTAATATTTAATCATTCTAAATACTTCACATTCTAGTTCTTTATATGATAGAGGTATTAATTAAGTAACATAATAAACATAAAAAGGAATATTTTACAGAAAAAATAAATAAATAAAAATCTTAGGAATCAAGTATTAATATAGAAATTAGTATAAAACCTAATGATAATATCATAATAGTTTTTAGTTGCCTTATTCACATTTATAATACTTATTAATCTTTGAATAATAATCGTTTAAATTTAATAGAACAATTTATTTTAACAATAAAAGTCTTTAAATAATAAATTAAATTAAAAATAAAAATAATATTATTTTAAAAAGTAAAATAATATTGTAGTATTTATTTATATTGTCTATTTGAAAATCCTAAAATGTGTTCATTAATTAAAAAAAACAAAAACAAAAGAATATGATCTTTCAAAAAAAATTAAAAGAGAAATTTTTTTTAATAAAAAATTCCTCTCGAAATAATGAGAACTTAATGAAATATTAATTAAATATTAACATCATCATTTATTTTTCACTAATCAATATTTGACATTTATTTTTCATTCTTTTCATTTAGATGTAACATTGCCTTATCCATTGCAATTAGATAAAGAATATATGTATCGAATTGGATTAAATCCAAATGAATTTATAGATTATTGTCAATCTGAACTGATGAACTTTATGTTTAATGATCCAATGGATATTATTGAAAATTTTATTCAATATCGTTTGAGAAAAGGCTTAGATATTGGTATTAATCAAGAATGTTTTGATCATTTAAATAATGTTCGACAAATTTATTCTAATGATGAATCGTTCGAACATGATGTTTATAATTATATTGAGGTTCAAATCATGAAATTACTCAATTCTCCAAATTTTGATTCATCACCTGATAATCAATGGTCTCAAATACCTTGTCCTACTTTTAATTCATCAACATTAGAAGTTGTTTATTATGATTTGAACATTTATCCTAATCGATCTAATTTCAAAAAATGTATGCATAATAATTTAAATGTATTTGATTTATTGGCAAAATCTCAAATAGAAAAAGATGAAAATATTCGCTTATATCATGGTACAGATGTTGAATCTGTTAAAAAAATATGTCAATATGGAATAAATTTAAACGCATCTCATCGTCTTGGTTCCGATTTTGGACCAGGATTTTATGTGACAGACAATTTTGATGGTAAGTTTTTTGAATTTATTAAATATATATGATGGGTTCTTGCTAACTTTTTAGATGCTCTGCACAGAGCAATGAGCAAATCAGCACTAAATAAAACATGTGGTGGCGTTATTTGTTTTCAAATTCGAGATATTGAGTATCATCAGTTTAATGTACAAGAGCTAAATGAAACAGCAGAAGAATCTAGTAATCCTCTCGAATGGAGTAACTTTGTGAAATTATGTCGTCGTCGATTTGCAGAATATCCACATATGTTTCGACGAGATGCTTTTTGCGGTTCTGTTTGTAAGAATGCAGAAAAAGTTTATCGAACAGAAAATGAACGACCACAAGTAAAAATGCTTGAAAATAGAAAACCCAAACAGATATGTATCAAAAGTACAACTATGGCATCAAAACTTGAAGGTTCAATCTTTGGTTTTTATGTTATTGGTATATCATCATAATGATACTTTTCTTTTTTTTAT